GTGTAGAAATCTCTTTAAGGTACTGATTTCATTTCCTTTGGCTATATACCCTGTAGTGGGATTGCTAGATCATATATATGGTAGTTCTATAACACTGTATTTTGTCTTTCTGATAATAGCCATTCTAACAGGTATGAGGTAACAGCTCATTGTGATTTTAATTTGCATTTCCCTGGTGATTAGTGATGTTGAGCATTTTGTCATACACCTGTTGGTCATTTTTATGTCTTCTTTTGAGAGACGTCTATTAAGATCCTTTGCCCAGCATTTAATTGGATTATTTGTTTTCTTACTATTGAATTGCTTGAGTTCCTTATGTATGTTGGACATTAGCTTAAATTATTTAACTTAAACCATATCAGATGTATGATTTGCAACTATTTTCTCTCATTCTGTAGATTGCCTCTTTGCTCTGTTGATTGTTTTCTTTGCTCTGCAGAAGCTTTTCAGTTTGAGGTAGTCCTATTTGCTTCTTTTTGCTTTTGGGGTCATAACAAAAAAAATTTTCCAAGCCAGTGTTATGGAGCTTTTCCCCTATGTTTTTCCTAGTACCTTTACAGTTTCAGGTCTCATGCTTAAGTCTTGAATCCACTTTGAGTTGATTTTTGTATATAGTGTGAAATAAGTGTCCAATTTCATTCTTCTGCATGTAAATATTCAGTTCTCCCAACATTGTTTATTAAAGAGACTGTCCTTTCCCCATTGTGTATTTGTGGCACTTTTGTTGAAAATCAGCTGAGCATAAATTTATTTCTGGACTCTCTATTCTGTTCCATTGTTGTTATATATCTGTTCTTATGCCAGTACCATGCTGTTTTAATTACTATAGCTTCCCAAGGCATTTCTTAAACATTTATTTTTAACTTAAACCAAGTAAATGTACATTTATTTGCAAGTCTTCTGATACAGAGACAAATAATTTTGTTTAAATTGGATTCAGTAAATAAAATTCTGCCATATATTCCTTGTGTAAATTCTTCTCCTAATGCATCATCATTAACAGATTCTAATTTGAGTTTTTCCTCAAATGAAACAAGAACATAAGAATACTTTCAAAGTAAACCAACTGCAAAATTCTCCTCAAAAATTTGTGATTCTTTTCTAATCTTTCATAGATTCAAGCCCACATATAATCCAATAGCAACTTTGTTTTCAAATCTTTAGTTCTTCTATTCAGCTGAATTTTTATAGTAGCAGCTGTCTTTTGCACTCATCAATTTGTGTGATATTAAACTATATAATTACAATCACAAATATGCCTGGCCTAAAAAGCTTGGGGAACTAACTAATGCAGCTGACTCTCAGTATGCATACAATTCAACTGATGGGAACAGATGCATGTTCTTTGCAGAAAGGATTCTGCTATTCACTTGGAATGAAGAACATTGATTAATCTGATGAGTCAGTTAACTAAGTGTGAATTAATAGATCCTTCTACTGCAAATATGTCTACTAGATAGACTGAAAACTCATTGAAAGCAAAGCCTGCCTTATGTGTCCCCACAGCACTTAGCAAAGTGCCTTATAAAAATGTAAGCATTCCATATGTGTTAGTAGAGTCGAATTAAATATGATTGAATTCTGCTACCTTTTTCTGAGTAAGAGTTACTTGGATAATGACAATGGTGGTATGCCAATATAAGTATCAAAAATACCCTAAGTCATTAGATGTGTACAGGCTGCAAGATGACTCCCCCACTTTAATTTTTCATATGTGATTATAATGCTACAAACTTCATCATTATTGTGTTCTCCTTTCATAAGACTTGAGGTCTATATTTATACAGGGTCAACAGTATATTTTAATTGAAGCTAAAAACCAGTGGAACATTGGTAAATCCCAGTAATGCATGTTTTTTATCTCTACTAGCACACTATATATTAGTATGTGATTCCTACACATATCAATTTTTCCCACTGATGTATTTTCATACCCAAAGATCTCAACCAAAAAGCAAACACAGCCTGCTCTGGTTAACTATTGCTGTATAGCAAACTACCTTAAACCTTCAGAGCTTACAGCAAGAATTTACTATCTCATGATTCTCTGGGTTGACTAGACTAATCTACTTAGTTCCTCACTCTGACATCCTGGCTGGAGTACACTGGCACAATCATAGCTTATTATAATCTCAAATTTCTGGGCTCAAGCTATCCTCTCACCTCAGCCTCCTAAGTAGTTGAGACTACTCTCATGCCACTGTAGTCCGATGGTTGACCGAAGCTGATGTCATTAGAAAGCTCAACTACATTGAACTTTCAAGTTGGCTCACTCCCATGTCTTACACATGATGTCAACTGCTGGCTGGGGATTCAGCTAGACCTGCCAGCTGGAGCACCTACATGTGGCTTTTCTCAGTAATTTAGACCTCTCTTAGCATGCGTTCTCAGAGGAAGCATTCAGAAACATCCATTCCAAGAAAGAAAGTAGAAGCTGTCCATTTTAAGACCTGGCCCCCAAAACTGGCACATTGTCACTTCTGCAATATTCTATAATACTATTTAAAGCAATCACAGAGTCCACTCAGATCCAAAGAGAGGTCACAAATACCCCATCTGTCATTGATGACAGTACCAAAAAAAAGTGGTAACCATCTTTAATCTGTCGTAATGTCCATTATAATTTTCTACTTATGATGTTCACTTAAACTAAAATTTACTGAGGTTATCAAAACAAAAAGAAGAGTACATTTACAAGGAACTTGATCTAAAATAATCAGATTAAGTATTAGATGGATAGTCTATTTTACCATATAATCTCATTTTTTGCCCCTGGTAAAAAGGTTGAATAAAATATTTCAAATATTTTCCCACCCTTACTAGTAAGTTTTACTGCCACCAACAGGAAAGAAAAGGGAAAGTCAGGCAAGGATTCCTTTTCCTTGTTACAGTCTCAGTATTTAAAAAAAATGGTTTTTACTATTTATTTGTTTATTTGTACCAAGTCTTGAACAGCCCCTGGCTTTGCAATGAGTGGGCTAGGTTTCTGAACTCTCTCACTCTCTCCTTTCTGAGAGAGCAGTTCTCCGCTCTTGACTCATAAGTCAGGTCCCTGATGGGAAAGCCTAACAAAGTATACTACCTTTCTTGCTCTACGTATGAAAGAATTCAGTGTTCAGTTGACTCAATGGCAAGTGGGAGACCTACAGAAGAGAGGTTCTGGGTGCATGCGCACATTGATTTTCTTTAATTTGAACTTTATAGATGATTGTAAATCTACATGCAGTTATAAGAAATAATACAAAGAGATCCCATGTACTCATTACCTGGTTTTCCCCAATGGTAACCGATAGCAAAGCTGTACTATAATATCAAACCAAGTTTTCCTTAATTTTTTAGAGGTTGGATCTCATTCTGTCATCCAGGCTGGAGTACAGTGACACAATCATAGCTTATTGTAATATCAGATTTCTGGGCTCAAGCTATCCTCTCACCTCAGCCTCCTAAGTAGTTGGGACTACAGATGCATGCCACCATGCCCAGCATATATCTATCTATCTATCTATCTATCTATCTATCTATCTAACATATATAATATATGATATATATTATATCTCATATATAATATAATATATACATATATACACATATATAATATATGATATATATTATATATCATATATAATATAATATATGTTGAGAGATAGGGTCTCACTGTGTTGCCCAGGCTGATCTCAAACTCTGGGGCTCAAACCATCCTTCCACCTAGGTCTCCCAAAGTGCTGGGATTGCAGGCATTAGCCACTACACCCAGCCTCAACCAAGATATTGCCATTGGTATGATCCACCAATTTTATTCAGATTTCCCGGTTTTACTTGTAGTCATTTGTGTGGGTGTGTGTGTGCGCACTTGTGTGTGTATATTTAGTTCTATGCAATTTTTATCACCTTTGTAGGTTTGTGTATCTACTACAACAGTCAAGGTACAGAACAGTTCTAGCACCGCATATGTCCCTTAGGTTGACCTTTTATAACTGCTTGTGACTCCCTCCCACTACTCACATCCCTAACTTCTGGCAATCACTAATCTGTTCTCCATCTCTAGAATTTTGTCATTTCAAGAATGTTACATAAATGAAATCATATTGTATATGTCATTTTAAGACTGGCTTTTTTCACTCAATATAATTCTCTAGAGATTCCATTTTTATCGATGTTTATAGTATTCCATGGTATGGATGTACCGCAGTTTGTTTAACCATCCACCTATTAAAGGAAATTCATGTAGTTTCTTTTTCCTTTTTTTTTTACTATTACAAATAAAGCTGATACAAATATTAGTATACAGGTTTTTTGTGGACATGATTTTTCATCTCTCTGGGATAAATGCCCAAGAGTACAATTTCTGGATTGGATGGTAGTTACATGTTTAGTCTTACAAGCAGCTGCCAAATTGTTTTTCAGAGAGACTCCACCATTTTACATTACCACCAACAATGTTTGAGTGTATCACTTTGTCCATGTTGAATTTTGATGTTATGAATTACCAATATTGCTTTTAACAGTTGATGGCTGGCAGCCCCATGTGAATTAAGCATTATTGCCTACTTTTTCTTTCTTGGTCACTTGGGAAAGCCTTAAAAGACATCAAAGATGATAGGGAGAAGTGATTTCTGGAGGTACTTTCAGTGGCATTTTTATTCTTGCTTCTTCACATCCCAAACTACATATGTAAACTCAGTGATGGGTCCAGTCATCAGTGCATCGCAGGTGCTCAATATGTATTGACTGGCCAAATATAAGTTATATGTCTTCTTTCAAATTCCTTTTACTTAAATGTTAAAAGTTATATGCAAATCCCTTCAAAGAGTTTTCCAGCCTTTCTTTTCTCTTACCTAAGGCATCTCTTAAACCAATGAGAGCCAACAGAGTTGAAATGGGAATGGATTGTCACATTTATGCCACCAACTAAATAATTGCACATTCAAAATGTGGGCTGCAAAATACTAAGCCAATCAATCATTCATACTCTTTCAATTTACTTGTTTCCCCTTGGCCAGGTGGAGTTTGCTCCTGATATTGGCCTTCAATACAAAGGAGAGTTGACAGTTGTTTTACGTTACATTCCCCCAGAGGAGAACCTGATGCTTCCACCAGAACAACTACAAGGTAGAGTAAAAATCAATGACTTTGATCAACGACATTCTGTTTCTAGAAGTGTGGTAGTGCGTATCAGAGATTGGTTGCATTATGTTACTTTCATATTACACAAACAAAACATAAAAAGTTAGGTGTCACTGTCTTTTGGGGAGAGTTGAGATTTGTATACCGTATATATGAAAGAATGCAGGATTCTTACAAGGAAAGGACAAGATTTATACTTAGAAACCAGCCTTAGTGGTCAGATTTGTTTTCTGTTAGTCCCAAAGATATAGGATCTTCCCCAAGGGTGGGGAAAAAGCAGGCTGCTGGGAGACACGTATAAGAAACTGTTCCATGGATTTCTGATATTCACAGCTATTCAGGGATTCTTGAGGAAGAAGTTGGTCTAGAACACAAAATTAAAGGAAAAATTCAGATGGAGTCAATCTATAAATCTCTCTTCCCCTTTGTATTGGGCAGTTATTGCAATGCTATAAGAAATACCCAAGACTAGGTAATGTATAAAGAAACTAGGTTTAATTCACTCATGGTTCTGTAGGCTATCTAGGAAGCATAAAACAAGCATCTGCTTCTGAGAGGCCTCAAGAAGCTTACAATTACAAGGTGAAGGAGGAGCAAGTGTCTCACATGAGAAGCAGGAACAAGAGAGAGAGAGAGAGAAGGTGCCACATACTTTCCAACAACCAGATCTCACAGGAATTCACTCACTATCATGAGGACAGCACCAAGGGGACAGTGCGAAACCACTCATGAGAAATCCACACATGATCCAATCACCTCCCACCAGGCCCCACCTCCAATATTGGGGATTACATTTCAACCTGAGATTTGGGTAAGGATATACATCCAAACTATACTGTCCTTCTTTTTCCATCAACTCTTGCAGGCAGCCTCCTCTGTCCTCCCATTCACTATTACACTTTTCAGTGTGACGCTGTACAAGTAACTCAGTATCTCCTGACCTCAATTTCCTCACTTCAAAGGGCTGTTGTGAAGAATAAATATGTTCATATATGTAAAGTGCTTAAAACAGTACTAAATAAAGATGGCGGTCATGGAACTGGTTAATATCATTCATGTTGAATGTATTTCATAAGAATAGAAAAGTGAGGTGAAAAAGAGATTTCTCTCACCCTAAAATGTAATTGTGCTTGGGCTGTAGCCTCTAGAGCTGGCTCTGACTAAAACTGACTATTTGTAAGACTAAAATATCAAAGGGAGTTATGGAATTTTCTCTTTTGGAGTTTTGGCATTTGTATGTAGCTTTCTTCATAGTTATTTCTCATTAAGAGCATGAAGGGTGCTCCAGGAAACTCTTAGGCATTCCATTTGTTTATATCCTGTGAAAAGATATGCCTTCTAAGGGAGTGTTTAAAGTTTTAAATTTATTTGTTCTTTTTTTTCACAAACACAAATGAAAGACCTATCTGGAAGGAATCCAATGGTGGCAAAAATGTTTAAATGAATAAAAATACACAATAATGTAAGGGCCCAATTCAGTCAGCAAATCAAACATATCTTTGTAGATGATCTTTGTAAATTTTGCAACAGAACCCATGATTTATCTATTTTTTTTCTCTCTCTCCCTGCCATTCCCTCATTTTGATAGCTAACACAGGAAAGAAGACTTTTAAAAAGGGAAAGAAAAAGGAGTCACTTGTAATCTCTGGAGGAATACTAGAAGTGTTCATCAAAGAGGCAAAGAATTTGACAGCAGTGAAGTCAGGAGACACTTCTGATACCTTTGTGAAGGGGTAACTTTGTTTTGGCTCATTTTGGATGATATTTAATTGGAGATGAAAGGGTCTGTGATCCACAAGCCAATAGTGGCTGTAAGCCTTCCATGTTCTGTTTACTAGAAGTGTGTCAATGAGAAATACCCTTAAATACTGGCTCTTACATCTAAAACAATACAAGTATTGAGGGAACTGCTGATTCTAGCTGTCACTCTGTTTCCAACATATTTCAGGAATTCCCATCACTCTTAATCTCAAGACAGTCAACTTTTTTCTGTAAGATTCATTCATCAAAAAGAAAAAAAAGTATTATTTTCTAGGTGTAATGTATTTTTCTTGTTCTTTGTTGTCATTTTGTACTGGCAATGTGCAGCCATAACCAAAATATCAGATCCTTGATCTTTTTCTCTCTTGGGGGAAATTGTAAAAAGTAGAGATGTCAGAGCATCCTGGCAGGACCTATCCACTGTAGAGTGCTTTGGAGAGGCTCTAAGACTACCTGCTAGGCATTTGTACCCACATTGTGGAGCAAAGGGCAGCTTCTTGAGGGAATGCAACCCTTTAAATAGATACTCTTGCCCAACTCTAGGCAACTCAAACATCAAATCCCTTTTGATTTCTGACTATTGGATATTTTTCTCTTGGAATTAGAGTAACTAACACTGCAAGGTTATTTTTTATTAGTCCAAACAAACACAAAAATGAACATGTGCCAAGCTCCAGGTACTATGCTTTCAAAAATAAATAACATATAATAACCCCTGCCCTCATGGAGCTCCATAAAGCAATAAGGCAAAACAAATTCTCATGACGTCAGACCATGAGGTTCATTCTTTGAGTCAGATGGCAATATTGTTCCTCGTCTCATGCCATATTGGAAAAGTGTATTTTTTTCCTACAAGGAAATGGGTTGAGCCCACCCTTACATGTTCTAACTTTGGGGGGTTTCTTTGTTGTTTTTTTATGGGTTTTTTGTTTTTGTTTTTGTTTTTGTTTTTGTTTTTGTTTTGACAGAGTTCCGCTCTGTCACCCAGGCTGGAGTGCAGTGGCGGCATCTCAGCTCACTGCAACCTCTGTTTTCAAGGTTCAAGTGATTCTCATGCTTCACTCTCCTGAGTAGCTGGGATTACAGGTGAGCGCCACCATGCCCAACTAACATATATATATATGTTTTTGTATTTTTAGTAGAGGCAGGATTTCACCATGTTGGCCAAGCTGGTCTCGAACTCCTGACCTCAAGTGATCTGCCTGCCTCGGCCTCGCAAAGGGCTGGGATTACAGGCATGAGCCGCCACACCTGGCCACGTGTTCTAACTTTGGTAAAGCCAGTAGTGGGGAGAAACAGATCTCTGGGGCTTCCCCATTGGTGAGTGCATGTGCCTGAATCCTGGCACATTTTCTCTTCACTGTTTCCTGCAGTAGATTTAAGTGTAGAAGAAATGCTTTCTTTGGATGCTACAGTTGTAATTTGCGTCATAACCTTACCGTCCAGTTTAAGTCTCTGCTGCTTACTGTCTGGTGGAATGAGGAGATGGCTCCTGACCTGTGGCCACATTGTGACCCTGCAGTGGTACTCGGCATCTTCTGGAGCAGTATTCACCTTATCTTGTGGAAAATTTATAAAGCAGAAATAATAAAAGACAATATTTTTGTTCTAAAAAGAAAAACAAAAGCCAGTAACTTTCTGGTAAATTATGTCTATAGTAATACTTAAACATTAGGCTGATTCTAAAAAGATGTGAGATGTTTTTTAAAAGACAATGAGGGAGCAAGAATAGACCTCTGTAAAGTTTAATATTGTAAAATATGTCCATTAACATTAGGTCTGTCTGTGAGCCAAAAAAAAAAAAAGTGACTTAGACAAGTTTTGTTTTTCTGTCTCTCTTACATGAAAACAAAGACTGAAGGTAAGGTCTCCAGGGCAGGTATGGAAGCATCCTGATTATCAGGGACCCAGGATTTTTCCATCTCTTTATGGTATCCACCTAATAGGTTAGGATAGCTGTTCGTGTTTCAGCTATCCCATACAAATTCCGGCTGATAGGACACTTTCCAGATGTTTTATAAGCACTACTTCTTATATCCCATTGGCCATAACTCAGTCACATGACTATCCTAGCTGCATGGGAGGCTGGGGAATGTAGTCTTTATTCTGGGCAACACTATGCTCAAATGAAAACAGTGTTTTAGAGGAATATAAGGGGAGAATGGATATTAGGAGATAATAAGCAGTCTCTGCTTGGTACACGAAATGAAATCTTAAGTGACTTAATGTAGCTTCTTCATTGTAAAGTCATTTGCTTGTAGCACTTCTCATTTTTGTTTCATGTACTAATTCCATATGTACGTATGTCTTCTTTTCTAAAGTATGCTCCCTGAAGGGGGAAAACATCCATTTTTATCACATACGTAGAGCCTCATACAGTGTTTTGACCATAATCGAGAAAGCCTAGGATACAGGTGTTTTATGTGAAAAGAAATTTCAAGAAACACCAGTGAGGAAGTGGAGAAAATGAGAAGGAAGAAAGAGAAGTTGATTAAAACATATGTTAGGGGGCAGGTTATCAATGTGGGCAACTGGAGCCTGATTCCATTGGGGAAGCAATGAAGAACTCTGTGCAATATACCTTAGGATTGTCACTATGAGGGACAGGGAAGCTGGGGAATTATCCACCAGTTTCTCAAACCCATTGGTGAAAGGTTGTCCCAGGGCCATTAAATTCCAAGTGATTCCACAGTTTCTTGCACATAAGCTGAGCCAGCTCACACACCACCAGATAAATTACTTAACTAGAGAAACCAAGAGACACAAGCACTTGAGGTGGGAAGCTGAATGCATATCAGGAACTTCCCATCCTGGCCGCAAGTCAGCTCCAGGGAGGGCCAAGAAGATGTGAAGCAGGGCATTCAATAACGTCTATCTATCACAGGAGGCATTTTCTTTTCACGGACCAAAACAGGATTAGAAAGGAGAGTGAGAGTATTTTACTATTGTCCCACGTTAAAGAAATACTAACTCATTCTGCTATATAAATCCATATATAAGCATATAGAAACCTGGGAGAGAAAATAAAATACACACACCACACTTGTGTGCGTGAACACACACATAGAGACACATCAGAAATTACGGGAAATTCAAATGACTGCTCAAGGATGACATTTTCTGTCTAGTGTCTTACTGATGGTTTGTTTTTTTCTTCTACAGCTACCTGCTCCCTGATGATAGCAAAGCCACCAAACACAAAACTCTGGTAATAAAAAAGAGTGTTAACCCTCAGTGGAATCACACATTCATGTTCAGTGGCCTCCATCCCCAGGATATAAAGAATGTTTGCCTAGAACTTACCGTCTGGGACAAGGAGGCCTTTTCCAGCAACATCTTTCTGGGAGGAGTTCGTTTGAATTCTGGAAGTGGTGAGGGATTTGGGGACCCACAGGGATGGTCTGTGACTGGGCCCAGGTGGGGACACAATTCTTACAGGTATGATGTACAGTGGCTGTACATATGTAGTTTCAGCTAAATCCTGAAATTACCACAAATGCTTCATTCCTTTAGCTAAGGATCTATTCATTGTTAAAATACGAATATAACTACTGTAACTTTGTAACATTAGGCTAGAAGATTGGAAGATATCATGTTTAAATTCAGTTTTTTCACAGACTAACATTTACACTTTAGTCTAAGTGAATTTTAAGTACTTTCTTGGGCCTTGCTTCAGATTTTACCCAGGAGATGATTACCAAGACAGCCTAGGATTCTGATGGGAGGAGAGCGACTTTCAAGAACACCATTACTTCATCATCTTCTCAGTTCTGTCCACCTATTATTTGCACCTATTATTCATGCTGGTTGGATTGAAAGAAAATAATTTTTTCATTAAAATAACACCAATGTTGTTAAAAACAGATCAAGGAAACTCACCACTGGTGCCAGAAGACACAACTGTAACAGGGTGAATTGGAAGAGGGATTGCAGTAGTAGATTATGTGTCCACTAGTAGAGCACATTCAGTCACCCTAACTCTCGTTATCCCATAGCCTAGGCCAGACATAGATGAGACCATCTGCATACACTATGGTAAACATTTCTGTTGAGGAAAGTCCTATCACTATGATAATTACTTGCTTATAGATTAAGGGGAGCCAAGAATATCTATACCACTAAAAGGAAAACTTCCCAGGTCAGAAAAGTATACTTGTTTAAAAAGAGAGCCAAATTCATCCCATTATTCTGTCATGTCAGCACAGCCCAGATGAACCAGCTCTCTGCTAAAGTAGGGAGGAAATGAGTCACCAAGGCCATCCTGATTTGCCTCATATGGCCTAGGCATTAGAGAATAGTGCAGGCTGCAAAGGATTGATTCAATTCTAACCCCACTCACTATATATACTAAGTGAGAACAAGGCAGTGAAAAGGTACTCTGGTCAAAAGGCCCCCTCAGAAATTGATAGATGCCTTGCAAGAGAGCAAAACATTTCACGTGTTACATATAATGCTCCTGTTTTGCTTCCTCAGGTGTGAGCCATGGGAAGAACGTGGATTGGATGGACTCTCAGGGGGAAGAGCAGCGCCTTTGGCAGAACATGGCCAATAACCCTGGAACTCCCTTTGAGGGTGTACTCATGCTTCGTTCCAGCATGGGAAAGTGTAGGCTCTAAAGGGACCAATTATCCAAGAATGAGGTCACCAGGGACTATCTGGTTGTCATTTCCTACCAGTAGCAAATTGAGGTCTGAGATTCTGCTTCTCTGCCATTTCTCACCTGACAGTATTGGGACATGAGGAGAGAGATGTCAGTAGTATGAACATTTAGGGTTTTGTTGAATGCCTAAGCATATATATATATATATATATATATATATATATATATATATATTTCCATTGGTCAGGGCATTCTTGATTGGATGATAGAAAGTGTACCACTCTGTCCTGTCAACAAGCAAATCGTGCAATGGTTTATAGGGGTTATACCATAAAAGAAATGGCACAAGCTTATTTGAAACTACAATTGAGATTGGGGTCCTACTTTTTCTAAGTTACTTTAAATTTCCTCAAATCCTTTGAGGAGAAAGCAGACCACTGAGAACATAGATCACTTGAAGAGTTCAAAGAAGGGATACTGACCAACCTTTGCTCACCCTAGGAATCCACATGATCTCAAGAAGTCCCGGTGGGGATGGTTGCTTGGGCAAGGGGATTGTCCTCGTATTGCAGCAATCTTGTGGATTAACCAAGTAGTATTTCAAGATAGACTGACAGGGCTTTCTATGACTATTATAGAATTTATCATCTAAATCAGTTTATTTTTGAGAACAAAGAGAGCTAAATAGCTATATAAGAACAATGTTGATTAGAATTGACTGAGAAAATTGGGATGTAGGTCACCCTACTGATGACCTAACTATTAGACAGCTCTGTGGTAAACATTTATTTTATAAAATGTTCTAAGCCATTAACCAAAAGTGAATGAGAAATAATGGTCAATTGATACACCTTTTCACATTGTGTTCACTGATGAGACTAGTTTAATGAAAAAGGAGGTACTCTACTTGCTATTTTACTTCTGCCTGTTGTGGGAGAGAATCAAGGACTCTATCTTCTCTCTTCCCCCTTGTTTTCTCCTTTGCTGAGTTTTTCTTATCTCCTTTTGCAGTAGTTAACTATTGTCACAATAATGCTGAATGAAAAAAGATGCCAAATGTCAGTGGCTTAAAATGACAATCCTTTCTCTTATGGATATGAAGGTCGGCTATGACACCTCTGCTTCCTGCTACAGGCCTCAGGTTCTAGGTTGGCTTCTTGTACCTCATCCTCTTTGAGCCAAAGAGATAGCTAGAGCATCTTGGTGGCACAAGTGCAATAGGATGAGCCCCACTGCTCAGGTACATTTTCAGCCCCTGGCTGTGTTGTGTCTACTAATATCTCATTGGTCAAAGGAACCCAGAGGACCAAGATGAAGAGGCAGGGAAATATGCACTGCTCACAGTGAAGTCATAAGAGGAGTGAGGATGCAGGAAGGGATGAAGAACTGGGGCCAACAGTTCAATCTACCATACCTTCTCTCACCTGGAATTTCAGATGCTTGAGCCACAAAAGTTAGATGCAAAGGTAGTTAAAGCTAGAAGCGACCTCAGGCCCAGTTCCTCATTTTGCAGATTCCAAACCTGAATTCCAGAGAGCTGAGATAACTTGCTGAATGCCATATGGAGGTTGTGACTAAATGTAGACTTAAATCCAGGCTATCAATCTTAGGCCAGTGTTCTTTGTTCACTGCAGTTCTTGGCATGATCCTATGCTTATTAAGGTGGATAAGAGGGCATATGTCAAGAACATTGGAGCAGAGTCTGATTATTTGAGCATGAACATATCTGACCAAGGTATGTTCTGGAGTCATATTCTAGCCCTTAAGCTCATTTTTTATGTGAATTCATATAAAATCCTCAAAAGTTTAGAAACTGAATTTTAGTAGTAACAGAGCTAGAATCATCTTCAGGCTTATTCTAGCTAGTTGTTCCATATTTCTAGATTCTCTCTTGAATTTTGAAAATTGATTTAAGAATATATTTGGTATTATTAGTGGTAAAAGAGTAAGTAATCCACTTTCAATTTTATTCAAAAATAGGTCACCTGATTCTAGAAAATGGTCATTAGTCTAGTGTTGCTTAGCAAGGTACTTAAAAGAAAAAACCACATATATCCCTGTGCTGCCCTTCTTAAAAAACAGAAAACAAAAAATGTAAGATCATCATTGCTTCCCACATAGGAAAAATAAAATGTCTTCAGACTTGATGTGACTCATTCTGTCTTCAATTACATTTTTAGGGGCAGTAAGAAGATGGTGATGGTGAAGTCTGTAAATATCTCTGGAACAGACACAACAAAGTGGACTTACTTATTAGTAATAAAAATGTAAAAATAATAAGTTTTAAAATTTGTAACTTGAACTCAAGAAGAGCATGAACTTTATGTGTTCAGATCTTTGCCACAGGTAGAGCAACTCTCTGTATCATGGTTTCATAAAATCCAACATCTAACTAAGTATTCCCATAATGCAAAACTCATACTTGCAAAAATCTATCAGAAACCTCTTGGTGTTGCTCTTGGAAATAAAAGGCAAAAGTATGGTATAGAACTACAAATAGCATTTTTAAATATATGTAATCTACGTGAATGGCACAGAATTGAAATGGTTCAAAATTGTGAAAAGTTAAGTCTTCCTTCTCCTCTTCCCTATCAGAAAATATTGAGTCTCATTCTTCATTTGGCTAAGGATGCTAAATTATAGAGATGTATCAAGTTTATTTAACCAGTCCTATCCACTACAACATTAAATATGGTTAACCAAGCTATCTATGTTTGATGGCTTTTCTAAGCAATATTTTCTTTCAAAAATAAACACTTTGAAATTGAAAATAAGGTATAAATCTTACTCAACCATTCCACTTCTGAGTATTTTTCTTCCAGAGATAGGTGCATATATGAGAAATGAGTACATACAAGGATATGTATTGAAAGAGATTGGCAACAACCCAAAAGCCCACCAAAGAAGACTTGTATAATATCGCATGACCCTGATTTTCTGCTTTACAAGTCACTGCTTCTTTGTCTTTGTCTTTACTCATTCTCTACAAAACTATTAAAAATTGTATTCTTCAGTACTCAGTTCTTTTCTCCTCACTTTATACAGCCTCCCGGGTATTATCATGTACTGTACTCTAAAGGTTTAATACACTTTTCACTTTCAACTCACATCTCTAACCCAGACCTTTCCCGTCAACCCCAGACCCAGATCTACTGCCCATAAGACATCTCCACCAGGATACTTCATGTTTTCAACATATTAAAAACTGCACTCTTCATTTCACCATCTCTCTCACACCCATGTCTTTCTGTACCAGTGTGCCCTGTCTCAGTACCATCATCTACCAAGTAACAGTAACCAAACATCTGGTATTGATCTTTGGTTTGTGCCTCTTTCTTATCCTGAGGCAAAAATCAATCAGGAAATCACATTGATTCTTTCTCTTAAGGATCTCTAGAGGCTGTTCAGTTCTCACTATGTCCATGGCACCACCCTAGTCCAAGCCACCATCACCCTTCTCCAAGGTTATTGCAGCAGTCTCCTTCCTGCCATCTATGCCACCAATTTTGTTCTCCCTCAATCCATTCTCCTTACTGTGGCCAGAGTTATTTGCCTCAGCATGTTATGTTTAAATGTTCAAATATACAGAAGAGTTGAGAGAATTTTACAGTGAACATTCTTATATCCATCACCCAAATTCAGTCAGCTCTGCCATTCGCATTTAACTATACTTGCTTACCATTATTGATCTATCTGTCCATCCCCAGAGTGATCTGTAAAACCCTCCATGGCTTCCCATTGTCTTGAGAATAAAAAATAACTTGCTGCTTATGGTCCTACATAAGATGGTCACTACCAACTTGTCCCAGGCCATGCCTCCCTCCCCTTCTCTTCCACCACATAATTCATTTTTCTGCTTCTTAACTGTGCCAGGCTCTATCCCACCTCATGGCCTCAGGAATCCTTTTGGTCCATCTTTTTTTCAGCCTGATTCCCATTAGTCATCCAGGTCTAAAATATTACCTCCTCAGGGAAACATTCCCTGATCACTCTCTACTGAACTAGGTCACAGCAGCCTGCCTCTATTTCCCCTTCACTGCACACATCACAATTATAACAAATTATTCATGTAATGAGTCCTTTAATGTCTATGTCGGTTTCCTCCCTGCCATGTCCCCAGAATGTAAGATTCAGAAGGACAGAGACAATATTTATATTTTTACAGCTATATCCCAGAGCTTAGCTCACAGTAAGTAATCAAAAATTATTTGTGGAATAAGTAAAAACAAACTAATGTAACATCATAGAATATTAGACTGTAGGCATCTTTAGAAACCACCATTTCCAACTCTGAAGTAACAGATAAGGAAACAGGGGCCCACATAGATCAAGAAAAATCTCTTAGTTTGTTACCAGTTGGTCTTTTAAAAGCAACCTTGCTATACTCACCATGCTGTGCAATGACACAGCATAATGACTACACTTAAAAATAATGTATATTTCAAAACAGCTAAAAGAGAGGATTTCAAATGTTCTCACCACAAAGAAATGATAAATATTTGAGGTGATGGATATACCCACTAACTTGGTTTGCTCATTTCACAATGTATATGTGTATCAAAACACCACATTGTACTTTATAAATATATACAATTATTATTTATCGATTAAAAATAAAATTAATTTTTTAAAAAGCAAACTTCCTACAAGTACTGCAGTTACAACCCTAGGCTGTTGGGCCCAGCTTGTTTCAGCATAGATTAAAGCACAAAGTGTGCTGTCCAGTCGAGCATGCCGGTTTATCAGAAGAAGAGACCACAGCCTTGCATGGAATGTCCTACTCCTTCTTTGAAGATCTCAACTCTCATTTTTCCCTCAGATGAGTCAAGTTGAAAAGGGACATGGACAAGTCTAACAGCCTGATTCTATCCATGCATACATAAATAACACATACAGGATGTGGTAGATTCATTCTGTTAATCAGCTGTCCTTCATGTTGTTATTGTGGCTGGACTCATCAGAATGTAGATTTTCCAGCTCAAAAAAACACACCAAAAAAGAAGATATTTTGAAGTAACTTCATACTCTCAGCTTCTTTTTCCTTAAGAAATGTTCACAAATGTATGACTAATAATCATTAAGTACTTAGATTACTAATGAATGAATTGAGCCCACCTGATTCACAGTCATATTAGTCTCATCAGTCT